TCACCATGCAGGACAAAGGTAAGTCTGTACTTAATGTCAACACGAATAATTAGAAAAGGTTTAAAAATGATGTCGTGAACTGACTGTAGTCTCTTGTTTTTACATAAGGTATAGCCTGTGGCTCAGGGATCAGAGGTGAAGTAAAAACACATAACAGAAGAAAAGTAAATTGAACAACTCGGTGATCTGTGAATTCATGCTTTTCTCTTTGTCTTTTTGTCTTCAGGTGCTTTACACTTGTCCTCTCCCAGCATTCAGCACTTCAGACACTCAACGTCCAGGACGGAGCTAACACAGAGAGATGCCCCACCCAGAAGACAGCCTTACCCCAACCCGATGAGAAGGATGGATGACCAAATGACAAACTGGAGAGTGGTGCTGTGTTCCAGCTATGTAAGTTATCACCTCACATTGGCTACAAACTGTTTTGAAGACTAAATCCTTCCAAAAGCTGGTATAAATCATCGTCCTACAGTACTGTAGGTCTAAATTTATTTATGTTTATGTGTATATGTTGAGTTTAAAATTGCATTTTAACAACATGCTGCAGCTGCCTACAATGGAAATCCTGTTTTGTGTTAAAATGACGTCTTTCTTGTGTTATTGCTTTGCAGGGCAGCTGAGAGTGGACAGAGCTGCACAGAGGACCAAAGATCCACTCTCAGCACTTCATACCTGACTGGCCACAGCACCACCCCTCTTCACCCAGGGTGAGGAGGGTCCTGACCCCACCTGCACAGAGGGAGTTGTGAACATGCACTTCTGTGTCGGTGGGTTTAGGAGCCTCCTCACACACACACTGATGAAGACTGTCACTGGAAAATGTCTCCATTGCATCAGCAGGACGTAAGCATTTGTAAAATATTACAGTTTGTGATCTTTTATACATGTTTTTATTGCTTCATTTCAAACTAGGAGATATAAAATAAACCAGTTTTCATAATATTTTCTGTGTATTTAGTTGTTTTTTGTTAATAAGTTATTTGGAACATCATTGCAACCTGTCAGCTTTTTATTGAGGATTTAGAAAGTTACTGGTGGCCCGAGTGTGTACAGTGGGGTGTTGTTTTTGTCACATGGTGAAAGTGACCTCAGGGGGAGCAAAAAGAACAGCTGAACAATTTGGGGATTCACAGACTTTGGTAATCGTTAAAAAATGAAGAAAAATAGTTCTGTGTGAACAAGAAGCTCAAATATAAACCATCCTGACACACTGACACAAATGATCTGCTATCAGTGTTTTCATGAACCTGGGTGAAGGTAATCTGCACGAGTTTCACCTCCCTGTCAAAAACCTGCATGATTCTGTTAGCACTGCAACAATGAGGTCTTGCTCGAGCTACTGATGAAGCTTTATCAATGCTTGTTAAGTTTCCAATTCACATTTTATCCCGATGGTCC